TATATTTAGCATCTTGGGAGGGGCTTAATGGCAGTGTGTGTTACTGTAGTAAGTTTTTTAAAGACTTAAACATTCCTGATTGATTTTGATCACACTTCCTCCTCCTCCTCCTCCTCATCCATCACTAATTGCAGCTAACGACTCCGCTGGCTTCTGGGTGCCAAGGAATCCTCTTTGTTATCTCCTTTGTCCCCGCATCCGGCCCCTTGTGCCCCTTAGAGATGGGAAGCCACGGCTCAGAGGCTGTAACTTGCTGAGCATCGAGGCCCTCCCTCCCTGCTGTCAGCTCTTGGCCTTTGTCCCTAGACCTGGGCACGTGTGCTCAGGACCTGGCCACCTGGCTGTTGCTTGGGGACCCAAGGAACCCCCATCCTCAGGGGACACCTGGGTGGGGGGTCTCAGGGAGCTGTGCGGCAAGCAAGTGAGCAGGGCTGGCTGGTCTCCTCAGGTCCCGAGGCCAACTGCTGGCCCAGGCCCCCTGGCCACCTTGAAGGGCCATGCGCTTTGATTGAGGAACGGCACCCAGAGGGCTGTGCTCAGGCTGGAGCTGGTGTCCCCTCCACTTTGATGGCAGTCCCGCCCATCCTGGCACACCAGCATCCTGGCCAGACCCTGCTGCCCACAGGCAAACCCACGTTGCCCTCCTCCAAGGCCATCTGCCTCCGCCGGCCGGACCAGCAGACATTTGGCGGTGGGGGTCCTGGGCTGGGGTGAGCTGGCAGCCATTGCCCTGCCCTCCCCCTCCCCTGTCCCCTGTGGAGTGCCCTGGAAGGGGCAGCCATGCCCACCCTGCAGCAGCCTTGAAGCGGGGAGAGCTGCACACAGCCACAGTTTAGGGGTGAGGATGCAGGGACTGCTGAGGCTATTGATGCCCCAGATCTCTTCTGGGGCTGGGTTTCTGTTTGATCAGCAAAGGACTGTCTTTTTTTTTTTTTTTTTTTTTGGTACTGGGGATCAAACTCAGGACCTTGCCCTTACCAAGCAGGCGCTGTGCTGCTGAGCTGTATCCCCAGCCCCGGGACTGTCTCAAAACACAGTGCTGGGATGTAGTAGAATATTACTTAGCCGTAAAAATGAACAGGCATGTCTAGGAAAGGAGGTGGACAACCACAGAGGCCATGCATGAGTGTGACCCTATTTACGTGACATGTCCAGAGGAGGACAGTCCCCAGGCACAGAGGATGCTGGTCTTGGACTGTGTACCCCAGGCGGGCCTGCAACTCATGGTGATCCTTCTCCTAGCTGGGTTAGTGAGCCGTGAGGCCGAGGGTGGCTCTCAGCGGGGCACGGCTGGGGCTCGTGCTCAGGTCGACAGCGTGGAGCCGGGGCGCGCGCCCAGCACACAGCGGTTCTTGCAGCGGTCACCTGCTTTGGCTGCCTGGCACCGTGTGCGCTGGGTGCGGCTTTGTTCGGTGAGGGAGTTGCTCCCTCGGCTCGGAGCAGAGCTGCATAGACCGAGCCCCTGGGAGCTGTGGGCGACTCTGATTGGGCGCCACTGCGCTGGCCTCCATGGTCGGCTGCAGGCAATGGGAACACAGGTTACCAGCGAGCATGTGCTCAGCACCAGTGAGCGGCACATGGTGGCCCCAGGACCGTAGCCGTAAGGAAGACACCACCCCAGGGATGGAGTGAGGTGTGGCCAGGAGGGCTTCCAGAGGAGGTGATGCTGGCCACGGGTCCCAACCCTAAGGGAGCAGGTGACCTGTGCCTGCCCAGGGGACCCCCAAGTGCCTGCTTTGGGGATCCCAGGATGGGACCTCTGGCTATCAGTGTAGGCAGCGTTTCCTGAGGCAAACCCTGAAGACCCTTGCTGTAAACATAGATACATATATCTGTAATCCCTGCACTGTGGGAGGCTGAGGCGGGAGGACTGTAGATTCAGATCCAACCCAGGCAACTTAGTGACACCTTGTCTCAAAACGTAACGTGGGTTGGGGATCAACTCAGTGCAGAGGACCTGGACTCAAGCCCCAGTACTGCTACAGACAGATCCCACGAGCAGATGCTTGGCATCCACACGCCTTTGCCAAACCGGAGGCAGTGCTGCGTCGGCCTTGGTGGGAGGGACTGCCGCAGCTCTGCAGATCTTGCACAACAGCATTGGAGGGGCTGGGGTTGGGGCCAGGCCCGGCGAGGCAGGGCCTGGGATCTATCTGCACATTTCCCAGCTGGTGGCTGCAAACTGCGGCCGGAAGCAGAGCACAGACTCCTGCCCAGCCTGTGTGCCGGTCACGGGGCGCTGCCCTCAGGAGGAATTCCTTCTCCCACTGCCCCGGGGGTCACAGTGATGTCCCCTTCGGGAGCTGGGCCGAGGTACAGAGGACAGCAGATATGAAAGTGACACAGTAATTGTCAATCGCTTGCAGACATTAGTGCCTGTTACTGTGGTAACCGCCCAGCTCCGGTGGACCTCATCACCCGAATAGCAGTGGTTTTGTTGCTGTTTTAATTTAATAGTGTTGTTATTTTCCCCATCATAAAAATAACATGCATTATGCATGTGTCTACATGCACCAGACATACACATTAAATTATGCAATTTCTTATATCAATTATACCCCAATAAAGCTATTAAAATAATACACATTCATTACAGAAAATGTAGAAAACACAGAAGGGCAGAAAGAGGAGAAAAAATTATCCTGTTTCGACTGCACCAAAGCAGTCCCTGATAGCGTTTTGAAGAATTCTCTCCCAGCTTTCCTCGCACGCTTGCTTCTCTTTGTAGGGCTGTGATCACTGGTCTATATAATTAAACACGTTTTACATACAATTTTACATCCTGTTCTTTCCCCTCACGGGGTTTTAATATGCAACAGCCAGAACCAGAGCCACCCTGGGGCCCGGCATGGCTGGGCTGAGGCTCGGCTTCCGCCTCTAGGTGTTCCTGGCTGGGGCACGCTGCCCACGGACGTCAGCGTCGGGAGGCTGGGACGCTGTGGCTCCGTGCCCCGTGGCCCCGTGGTCTTCCCCAGTGCGCTGCTTTCCTGGTCGTGTCTGCGTACAATGGCGTGTGTGTCGTCTTGGTCAGTGAACCCACGCAGCTCACTCTCATCCTGCTTCCAACCTTTCTCTCTTCTTTCTGTTGCCATCGTAGCTAGCGTCCACCGAGGCACGGAGGGCGGGGTAGGCCAGGGACCGTGTCCCAGAGCACGTGCTGAGCAGATACCTGCTCGTGCCCGCCTCGCACAGGACCGTGGAGGCCTTGCGGTGCAGCTGTGGCCTTAAAAGTCCCAGCGTTGCCCTGGCGGGGGGAGAGATTGCAGACAGTGCGAGTGTCGTAGAAAGAAGAGACCAGGCTGAGGGATGTCAGGTGGCTCTGCGTGGGCCCCGGGGTGCGGATGGCAGGTTCGGCAAGGGGCACACTGTGGGCCTTTGGGAAGGAGAAGTGACAGGAGGGACGGAGACCAGCGCCCTCAGTCAGGAGTGGAAGGAGGGAGGAGAGGGAGCAGGAGTTGGGTGGGGCGGAGTCTGTCTCCTTTGACCGAGTTGAAACCCGTAAAGGTGGCTGTGGAGGCCCTAACGGCTGGGGCTGGGCTTGGCCAGCGTCTCGGCCGCCCCCCAGGTCACACTGGCTACCCTGGGCAGCCTGCGCCCGGCAGAGGCAGAGGCGGGGTGCAGAGCACAGCCCAGGGCTGAGCACTGTCCAGTCTCTGCTCCTGACTCATCTGCTGATGTCCCGCAGGCCCCACTCGGAGCCATGGGTGGGGACAGGGGCCCCGGACCAGAGCAGGGGCATCTCTGAGTTGTATGGAGAAGAGTGCGCGGTTGCACAGCTTGGGTTAATGGGGAGCTCAGCCTGGAGCTGCTCAGGCCACTCTGCGACCTCTGCCGCCATGACTGTGACATGGGGACCCACGGAAGGGCCTTGAGCAGGGGTGACACGGGCGGTCTCCCAGCTCTCCCTGCTTCACCACAGCCAGATTGTAGCGGGTGAACGAAAGTGAGCGGGTCACTTAGGAGGACTCACAGGCGTGGGGCTGGGCAAGCGCTGGTACCGCCCTGTGCTGGGAGGCGGAGCCGGCAGGATTGGGCGTGGGGTGAGGGAGAGAAGGGGAGCGTCTGGGGTGTCCGCCAGCGCTGGCGCTGCCGTCCCCAGACCAGGAAGCAGCTGGGAGGAGGCAGAGACGCTGGAAGGCTGTGAGCAGAGACCCGGCCGCAGTCATTTCCCTCGTTGCTGGGGCAAAACACCTGACACCCACAATTTAAGGGAAGAGAGGCTGACTTTGGCTCAAGTTCCAGTCCACAGTTGGCTGCTCCAAGGGGGGACAGCATGGCACCGGGGCCTGGCGGAGGGGAGCTGCTCAGGGCATGGGGGCGGGAAGCAGAGATTGGAGGGAGGGGCCCGAGGGAGAGGACCCCTTGCAGGCCACGCCCAGTGCCCGCCCCTTCCCACCAGGCCCCGCCTCCTAACAGCAATCAGTTGTCCGGTGGTCCAGTCACCTTTCAAAAGCCCTGTCTGTGCCTGCAGGAGGCTTTTCCAGGACCTCTGGATAGGCACCATGACAACCTGCGCAACTCAGGAGCCTGACCAGCCCCCTGGTGGCCGTCAGAGTGGAGTGCAGGGTGGGCCTGGGCCGCGGACAGGCGGGCAGCTTTGTGGTTCCCGGAAGGCAGACCCATGTTGCTACAGCTGGGGTGGGAGGTTCTGGTGTCTGCAGTGTCCCCGCTAGGAGGGTGAGGAATGGCAGAGGTCCCACTCCCGGGACCCACTACCAGTTGCTGCTGGGGCACAGTTCTGGGTGTTCCAGAACTTTCCGTTTTTCAAGACACATTGGCTGTGTGGGTTTTTACAGGAACACTTGCCCTTTTCAAATACTAGGACTGCAGACTAAGAATAAAAGTCATTTTGGGCCCCAGGAAAGCTCGCTGGTGGGACAGCCTGTGCTTTGAGGCAGTGAGTGGACTACAGAGCCATCTGTCCCTCGAAGGGGCGGCTTTCCTTCTGCCAGCCCGGGTTCCTGTCCCCTCTGCCAGACTGGCCCTGGAATGTGTGACTCATGGAGCCTGAGATCGGTGGTGGTGGAAGAGCGGTCCCCTTGCTCCCCGACAAGAGTGGGGTGCTGGAGGTGGGGCTGTTGCTCCCCTCCAACACCTACCCACACAGGGGGCTGGCCCTGGGTGCCCAAGGCTCCAGGCACTGGGGTGACCGCAGAAGGAAGGTGTCGGGGTGCCTTCAGGAGCCCTGGGTGGGAAGAAGGAAGGAGGGGTGCCAGGGGCGCAGACTGGAGGGGCCCCAGGGGCACCATTCCGGACAGTGCCACCCCCACAGGCACTGTGTGTCTGTCTACAGTGGCTGGGAAGGGCTGTCCGCCCCGGTGGCCGGAGGGCAGAGGCCTGGTGGGGTTTAAGTCAGAAGCGAGAGGCCTGTCCCGGTGGCTTTAGATACCTCCTTCGGGGCCTGGGGTTTAGCTCAGTGGCACAGCGCCTGCCTGACAAACCTGAGGTCATGAGTTTGATTCCCGGTACCGGAAAAAAAAACAAAAAAGATACCTCCTTCGTCTCCATTTTTCATCCAGTTCGAAGGTGTCTCTGCTGTGACCCCCTGTTCCACCCCCACCCTGGTCCCCTCCAGGGCTTCCCAGGGGCCTGTGCTCCCCGAAAGGTCCTGCGCTGGTCACTGTCTTGCCCTCTGCCAAACTGCCCCCAGATGCCCGCCCGGCCTGCCCCTGAGGCTCCGGCCAGTGGGGCCTCCTGGGAAGCCCTGCCAGCCCCAGGCCTGGACCCTGACAACCTGCTGTCCTGTGCTCTGCCTCCAGACAGACCCCTGCAGGCTGCTTCCTGAAGGGAGAGACAGGAAGGCTGGGGAGCCCTTCCCAACCTCTGCCCAGGGGAGTGGGCCCTGGGGGCGGGTGTCGCCCTGCTGGTGGCTGTCTCATGAGTGCCCCTCCTGTCTCTCCGCAGCCGATATCATCTCTACTGTTGAGTTCAACCACACCGGGGAGCTGCTGGCCACAGGCGACAAGGGCGGCCGGGTTGTCATCTTCCAGCGGGAACCAGAGGTGTGCAGAGGGGCCGGTGTGGGGGAGGGGTCAGGCGGGAAGGGCCGGGTGGGAGAGGCAGGTCTTGGATCAGGTCCAATAGGAAGGCTGTCAGGCGGCAGGCTGGGGGCGAGGACTGGACAGTAGAGGGGCCTCTGGCCCACAAGTGCCACCAGCCTCCTGCCAGGGTTGCCTCCCTGAGCCTAGCTCTGCCTACACCATGGGATCCTGGGGAAGGGGGTGGGCAGGTGGGGCCAGCAGCTGCAGCCCTAGAGTTCCGGGGTCCAGTGGGCTTGCAGAGGTGCCTTCTGAGCCCTGCCACCCTCTAGGGCTGGCTGATTCTCGCTGCCTGCAGTGCTGCTGTCCTTGACCCCAGAAAATCAGGCAGACCCTACTGCTGCCCTTGGTGAAGCCCCAGTGGGACCTCCCTCTGCCTGGGTGGCCTGGCACGGTGCTCACCAGGGAGGGTGGGGCAGTGTGCCCACTCCTGTCAACCCCTGCAGCCCACAGGCTGACCTTGGTGGCCTTTGTTCAGGCCTCAGCCCTCCCAGCCCATCCCCATTTCCTCCCCTGCCCCCACCTGACAGAAGGAAGCTAAGACAGCTGCCCCGAGGGTCACTGTAAGACCCCGAAAGCCCCTCGTGATAAAAGATTCCCCCCATTTACTGAGCACCTACTATGTTCAGATGCCTTCCTAAGCATCTCCTAATTGCTCCCCCCACCCCCAGAGGTGAGGATCCACACCCACTGTGCAGATGGGGAAAGTCCTGAGTCACCCAGCTCGTGATCAGCAGAGCAGGCCTGGGGCCTGGGCTGTGGGCACTGAGACTTCGGCCCATGCTGAGACCAGGAGGGGAGGTGGGGAGGGCAGGATGAGGGAGGGGCCCAGACGGAGCCCCGTCTTCCCCGCCTGAGCTCGCCCCAGGCCGACGCTCGAAGTGAGCACCGCAGCAGGGCTTCTGCCACTGGCTGGGAGCACCTACACATCAGCACTCTGGTGGCGCCATGCCAGGGACCCGGGCTCTGGGCAGTGCTGCGGCCAGCACCATGGGTTTCACAGGATGGGCCAGAGGCCTTGGGGGCCGCAGGGTGGGACCCGCCTTTTGCTGGGTTTCGGGGAGCAATTAAATTGGCAGATCCGTGTTGCTGCGCTGTGAAGTTTTCTCCTTTAGGTTTTTCTTCCTTCTGCCCCCACTGACCTTTGTCAGAACCCGTTATCATTTTCGAGGAAGTGAGTTGGTGGCAAAAAATTTAAAGAGCTTTAGAGCCTCTCAAAAACCAAGACAGGAGTAGGAACCTAAAAATAGATACTTTCAAATAAGGAACAGAAAAACGGATACTCTAAAACGTGCGGAGAGGCAGGAAGCTGTGGGCCCTCTTCATGTGCAGTTGTGGTGTCACGTTGCGTGCACTTAATTGTGTGCAGGGGGCCACCCCTCACTGTCTGGGGGCTCCCCAGTGGGGTCTTTGTTACAAGGAGCTCTGCTTTCCCAATCCAGATGGGAACGCAAGGGAGGCCAAGGGACCCTGACTGTCCCAGGTTGATGCTGTGGGACGTCCACCCCAGTGCAGCCTCTGCTCCAAAGTGCAAGCCCTCAAGTCCAGCCCAGGATGAACACACAGACACAGGCAAGGGCCAGGGCCTGGACATGGCATGGTCAGAGCCTCAGGATTAGCATCTGACCCCAGCAGAGGGGATGGTGGCCAGTCGGTGACCACGCGGCCTTGGAAGGTGCCTGGCCTCTGGGTCTCCGCCTCCACCTGTAGGACTAGGTGGTCTCATGGCCCTACCCTGGCAGGAGCCTCGAGCACAGAAGTGAGGTATGGGGGGGTCCTTGGCTCAGTGACCAGCACATAGTAGGTGCTCAGTAAACGCAAGCTCGCTGGGATGCTGCTCTTACTGACGTGGCTGGGTGAGTGAAGTGCAGGGTTTCCTATGGACGTCAAATTGGGCCACCTGGTCTCCAGGTGGCGTCACGCTGTCCTGCAGCTCAACCCACCCCTGGGTTTCTTTGCAGAGCAAAAATGCACCTCACAGCCAGGGCGAATACGATGTCTACAGCACCTTCCAGAGCCACGAGCCGGAGTTCGACTATCTCAAGAGCCTGGAGATAGAGGAGAAGATCAACAAGATCAAATGGCTCCCGCAGCAGAATGCAGCCCACTCACTGCTGTCCACCAACGGTGAGCCTGGGTCGGGTGAGCCCCCGCGGGGTCAGCGGAAGCCACGTGCGTCACTTGGATTGTGAGCGTGTTTCTGGGTCTTCAGATCCTGAAGTGTGAGGTCCAGAGCAGCACCGAGAAGCCAGGCTGGGCACAGGCCATGTCCACTGTAAACCATGCCACCCGGGCATCTTTGTGAATGCTGGCCTTCGGGGTGCACGGGGGTCAGGTCGGGACACCCAGTGACGGCAGGTCACAGACTAACTCACCGATTGCTTCTCCCGTGTGTGCTGGTGTTTACTCTGGTTACTCTGCTAGGCGGGGTTCTCCAGACAAACCAGAGCTGGCAGGGGAGTAAGGTAACCGAGAGAGACAGACAGACAGAGACAGACAGAGACAGAGGGGGAGACGGACTCGGGACCTGGCACATGTGACTGGGAGGCTGGCCAGCCTGGCATCTGCAGGATGGCTGCAAGACTGGAGCACTAGGGAGGATGCTAAAGGTTCCCCAGGTCAGACTTCGAGCTAATTGGCCTTCAACTGATTGGGTGAGGCCCGCTACATGGTGGAAAGTCACCGGCTTTGCTGACTTAACCTTTAACCTCATCTAAGAATCTTTCACAGCAGGACATGGTGTAGCCAAGGTGACACCTAGAATTAACTATCACAACTACTAAATCTCCCTCCATGATGTGGGGTCCAGGGAAATGAGGCTCCTAGGAGCCCATTGCTGGATGGCAGGGTACTGTTCCTTCAGGAAGAATCACCTTGTCAGCCAAGGAGTTTAAAGAGTAGGCTGGTATAGCCTTAATCCAGCACTCTGGGAGGCTGAGGCAGGAGGATCCAAAGTCTGAGCCCAGACCTGCAATTTAGGGAGTTAGCGAGACCCTATCTCAAAATTATAAATAAACAAATGAATGGGGGTGTAGCTTAGTGCAAAGGCCCTGGGTTTAATCCCCAGTACCCCAAAAAACAAGCAGTAGGAAAGTACAATGGTCCTGCATCTGTAAATCAGCTGAGGAGTCGATAATGACCCTCGAAAGCAATGTTGTCTTTACCACCGGCGATGAGGAAGGAGCAGAGTGGACACGCACTGCACGTGTCCATCTACAAAGTGGACAGGATGCCAGCGGCCGCGCTGTCCAAGAGCAGGGTGACACTGAGCGGCCTCTGGATTTCCGTGTCACCACGCAGCCAGCTGCAGTGGGTTCCCTGTCCTCTGAGCTGGTGTTTGGTCATGTGTCCGGTGTCTCTGTTCTGTCCTTAAAGATAAAACCATCAAGTTATGGAAGATCACCGAGCGGGATAAGAGGCCCGAGGGCTACAACCTGAAGGACGAGGAGGGCAAGCTGAAGGACCTGTCCACGGTGACGTCGCTGCAGGTAATGCTCGCTGCGGGTCCCCGTGGGGGAGGGGTGCTGTGCTTCTTTCGTGAAACCGGAAGATTTTAGTACTTGAAGGGCCTTCGGGTTGGAGCCAGGGGCGGGTTTGCATCCTGGCTGGGCCGCATCCTTGTCGGGTGGCTGGGGGTTCTTCCTCCGCTGTGTGCCTCAGTTTCTCGCCAGCAAAATGCTCCGTCCTCGTTGCCCTCCCGAAGAGACTGAGCAAGTTCACGCATGCTGACACCCGGCAAGTGTCACCAGTAGACGGGGTCATCAGTGCAGCCCCGAGAAGGAGAAATAAACGTTCAAACACGCTGGCAAATGACTGGCAAGTTGCTCGCATAAATTCTGAGGATGCAGGGCAGCCGTTTCACTTCCATGTGGAGCAATGGGGGTGACAATTCCTGCTCCCCACGCCCCCAGCCCAGGGAGGTTTACGGGGGCTTTGTCCAGTGGGAGAGATGCAATTATCACGTCTTGATTGGCCTGGCGTCTGCGGCAGAGCTGGAGGCCCGCGGGAATCTCACCTGCTTCCCTCCCAGCATGAGTTTTTATGTCACCTATGTCCCCAGGTGCTTAGCTGTAAACTCAGGCTGAGGAGGGGAACTGGGTGTTTATTTGCAAGGGTTCTCCAGAGGAACGGAATCAGCAGAATGCAGATCACTGTGCAAGTGATTAAGGGGATTAACTAGACCAGCCCAGGATGAGAGGCACAGGAGCCCCTCAACCCAAGAAGCTGAACCCGCAGAAAGGAGGGCTCAGGAGGTGAGGCCAGCCCGAGGCTGCAGGCTGCAAGCTCTCTGGTGTGAGTCTGCCTTGCAAGGCTGGAGAAGCTGGAGTCTGGGCCCACAGGCCGCAAAAGACACCCGGGCTCCAGCACAGTGGAGCTCTTCAAACTCAGGCCGCCTTCCTCCTTCTTCCCTTTCCTTCCATCTGGCTGCAAGCCCATTGGACAGAGTGACTGCATCAGGGTTGGCCTTCCCCCTCCATTTGCTGGCCCACATGCCACTCATCTCTGGGAACACCCATCTACCCAGATCCACCAATGCGCTGGGCAACTCCTAACCCAGTCAAGTTGACAGGGTGATTAAGCAGCGTAGGTGACCTGGTCTTTCCTCGTCTTGCCTCTGATCTCATTTGTTTGTGTTACTGAAGCCATCCCCATCGTACCTGGCTTTCTGCCGAGTCTGATGGTGGCAGCCAGTGTGTACCGTGGCTGCTCTGTGTGGGGCCCGTGTTAGGGCCCCAGAGATTAATCCAAGACTCAGTCCCTTCCCCTAAAGTGTCCCCAGCCGCCTTCCAAGGAGACAAACACAGAATCACCAAACACTGGTGTTCAGTGCTGTGGCAGAGGGACACACGGGCTGTGGGAGCTCAGAAGGCCTTTCTCCACCTTCTCTACTTGGTGAACTCCTATTCATCCTTTAAAACCCTGTCAGTCTTCACTTCTGTAAAGCCTTTCTCCACAAGCCAGAAGAAAATCATTACCCTTCCTGTGTCCCTGCTCACCTTTTGTATGTGACACCGTTCTGTCCTCGGTGTTCATCCTCCTGTCCATCACTTTGACCGAGTCATGACTTTCGGAGTCATAGGGAGGACGTTTTATCCCTGACACCCCCAAACCTTCAGGGCAGGCTTCCTCCCTCTCTCCCTGTCCCCTTGTATTTAAGTGGCCTTGCAGAATGGTTTGCAGGATGGTAGTGCCAGGAGGAAGTGCTGTGGCCCAAGGAGGGGGATGCCCGGACTTTGCTGGGCTGGGGATGCTCTGAGCTTGCTCGCCAGGAGCGGCCAGACTTCCTGTCTCTCCTGCCCAAGGGTCCCCAGTGTGGATGGTGGCCGCGCGCCGAGGGCAGGGACCGTTCACAGCAGAGCTGGACGGTTGGACAGGCAGGGACAGGCGCAGGGGGCCCCTGCAGGTGTAGACACAGGGACTCAGCCTCCCAGGCATGCAGCTTGGATGTGCAGAGCCAGGCGGCAACACGAGAACCACCAGAGCCAGGAGGGCCCAGGTGCCCGGTACGTGGAAGCACAGAGCTGTCACCCCCTCACCTGCCCTCAGGCCCAGGGACACAGCCCGCTGTCCTCTTACTCAGTCGCCATGTGTGCTCTCACTCCAGTGTGTGTCTCTGCGCAGGGCCTGGACCGAGTGCCGGAGAGATGGGTGCACGAGACGGCACGGCACACCTGACTGGCGCCCCATCCCCGGGGAGCGGGCCACGGCCACACCATGCCGCGTGCCCCCTGGGGTGTGAGCGTGCTGGGCCCTGGGCTTGGCCTGCATGTGGGCTGGGGCAGGTTCTGCTTCCTGCACATCCCGTCCAGCCAGGTCTGGGGAGAGGTGGGTGAGGCCCCACCTGTCTGCCTGTCTGTTGGGCCCCTCTGGACCCCAGGGCTGAACGGGCTGTCTGACACACTGTGGTGCCTGCTACGGGCCCCACAGAGACGGAGGAGTCGCAGTGGATTCAGAGCCTCAGAGTGTGTTGCAAGCAGAGAGCACAGTGGAAGCAAAAGCCCATGTCTGATGTCACTGCAGGGACCGCCAGCCCCCGCCACTGTGACACACAGTCCAGCACCCCAGTGCTTCACACAGAAATGTGTTTCTCATGGCGGAAAGGTGCGGCTGGGGCTCTCCGAGGGCTTCTTCCACCCTCACCCCTAAGGCAGAAGTCCTCATGTTCCAGGTGGACAGACACTGCTGCTTAACCAGCTGCTCACAGAACATGTGACACTGCACACATTTCATTGGTCAAAACCAGTCATATGGCCATACTCCTATGCAAGGGATGCTGGGAAATGTAGTTTCCATCTGGGTGGCCTCTTCCAATCGTATGGTTGCTGAAGGAAGATGCAGTGTTTGGTGGATAGTTAGCTGGCTCTGCTACGTTACCTTCTTCCACTTTACAGATGAGAGAATTGGGGGCAGAGGGCTTCAGCCGGTCATTCACTGACACACCGTGGGTAAGCAGCCAGGATGGGCACAGGACCAATCCCAGGAGTCTGCCTGGGTAGAGTCGGCAGCTTTTCCTGCAGGGCTGGGCAGGCAGGGATGTTTGTCATGTCATCGTCCTTGCTTATTTCAGTCCTGGAAGTGTTTAGGATGGGTGCTGCCCAAGTGGTGCCGCCTTTTGTTAAGGGCGCATGCCTGCCGCACCCTGCCACCCTCTCAGGCCCACGAAGCCCAGCTCTGACCTCACCCCTCTGCAGGTGCCGGTGCTGAAGCCCATGGACCTGATGGTGGAGGTGAGCCCACGGAGGATCTTTGCCAATGGCCACACTTACCACATCAACTCCATCTCCGTCAACAGTGACTGCGAGACCTACATGTCGGCCGACGACCTGCGCATCAACCTCTGGCACCTGGCCGTCACCGACAGGAGCTTCAGTATCCTTCATCTGCGGGGAGGGCGGCTGTGGGGTGGACAGGGTGGGGCTTCTGCCCTGTTTGACGTCTTCATCCAGGACCCTTCTGGTGAGCATGCATGTGAGGCCCAGATGTGGGATCATGCATTGTCTACCCAGGAAAATCCAACAGACATGGCTGCTGGGGCTCACACGTGAGTGGCCATGGTGCCCATCACCCTGGCCCTACAGGGACTGTAGAAGGGAAAGAGCTCAGGTCCACTGCCCTGGAGGAGGGACAGGTGGCCCAGGGATGGCTCCCTTTGTCTCCTCTCCCAGGGCCCAAGGCAGCCTGCGGTGAGTTAGACGGACAGCATTGGGTCCTGCCTAGGACTTAGAGTAGGGACTTGGTGGCCCTATTTGAGGTTAAGTTTGGGGCAAGTGGTTGACTGAGTCCCACCAGACAGTGAGGACAGGTGTCTGACGTGGAGCCCCGGCCTGGGGAGGGCAGGCTGTGCAGATGTCCAGTCGCCGTTCTGCAGGTCATCAGCAATGGCAGCAGTGTGAGTGAGGCTCTGGGTGCCGGGCCCTACTTGATAGCACCACGTTAATTTCCTCTTGTGTCATCCGCACAGCCCCTGGGAGGTGACGCTGTTGTGACCTCACGGTCAGCCACCGTCCGCTGGAGTTCAGACCCAGCCTGTGTGAGGGACGCCACCAAGCTGTGCGGTGGGCGTGGGGACCTCCTGGACCCTTGTGGGACCAGACTGTCTCTGAGGGTCGCTGGGGACCCAGAGGGAAGAGAAACAGGCTGCTGGGCTAGAAGGAGAGGGTGACAGAGGGCCAGGAAAGTAGGAAGACCCCATCCGGGAGGAAGGGAGTTGGGAAGGGCTCGGAGCCGCACGAGAGGCATGGGGCATACACCAGCCAGGGCTTTGCAGCTGGACCCTTCCTGTGGGAACCTCACTGCCTCCTCCGAGCTGTGTGCCCTCAGCAGAGTCGCTGCACCTCTCTGAGCTGAATGCCACAGTGATCCCTCCTTGTAGGCCAAGTCAGCTCCTGGTGTCCAGAGACCAAGCAAAGCCTAAGCCCACCTGTTTCTGCTGCTCAGAGCAGCAGTTAGTTGGGGCTTTTCTGTTGCTAGGGTCAGACAACCTCACGTGGGCTGCTCAAGGTGAACATAGGTATTTATGGATCTTTGCAACCATAAGAGAGCTTCAGGCGTGGGTGGATCCAGCGGCTCACAGTGTCCTGGGGTGGTGCTCCCTGCTTGTTGCCCCTGTTCTGCACTCTGGGTTGTTTCTGGCCCCATGTGATGGCATTTGTGTGCTAGCAGCCTGGGCTCCATCCCACCAGGACCCTAGTGGGCTCCCCATTGGCTCTCGGGGCCTGGCTTCCTCTGAACCAATCACTGTTGAGGAAGGAGAATACCACGCTGAGGTTGGCCAGCAGGACCCACAGCCTTGCCCAGCAGTTTCTTCCCAGGGGATCTCAGGAGACATGGGAGGGCCTTCGAAGTGGGCAGACAAACATATGCTCATTGCCAGGTCTGAGGTTGTTAACCAGCTTCCCAGCAGCATAAAACAAGGAAGATGACGTGTAGGGACCCCGGGTCTGCAAATGGGGAGGCTGGGACCCTCAGAGCTCCCTGGATAGGACTCTACTATTTCCAGAGCCACCTGCCGTTCATTCTCACTGGGTTCCCAGGCAGGGTGGCCTGGCACCAGGGATGGCGGAGAAGCTGCCCAGGGCATGGCGGACAGTAAGCCAGCAAGCCAAGGGATCCCCTGCTCATGCCCCAGTGGTGAGCCTTTCTCACCCGGCTCCCCTCCCATTAGCACATTTAGCTGTGAACTCACCTTGGACCAATCCCCAGATTTGCATCCCACCCCAGAGCAAGCTCCTCCCTCAGCCCCCACCCCTGTGCACAGGTGGCTGAGGCTGGCCTGGCCGGTGTGCAGGCTGTGGGCTGCCCTGGGCTGGGAGGCTCCAAACACATCGTTCTAAGAAACCTTCACAACCACTGCCATGTCCACTTGCCATGCATTTTTCTAAGTTTTATTAATTATCTTTAAATCAGGATGCTAAATTTTTGCCCAAATGACTGTCTTTTGAAAGGGAATTAGCTTCACTATTATAAATTAAAACATATCCCACGGGCCAGCTGTGATGCTGTTCAACTATAATCCTACCCAGAAGGCTGAGGCAGGAGGATCACTGTGAGTTCAAGGCCAGCCTGAACTGCATAGGGAGACCCTCTCTTAAAATAAAAAATAAAACATATCATACACCATAAAGAAGAAGCAGCCATAGAGATAAACACCACAAGACATTGGTAACTTTTATTTTTAACAAAGGAAATGAGCCGAGCTGCATACGCTGCTCCAAGATGCAGGATGTTTGGGTTCGAGCTTGTCTCGGTTACTTTTCTCTTGTTGTTGAGACGCAGTACCTGACGCCCAGAATAAAGGAAGGAAAGGTTTATTTAGCTCACAGTTTGTGGAGGTTTCGGTCCATGCTTGGCTGGCTCCAAGGCAGGGTGGCACATGGCACAGGGCAACTGTTCCTGAGGGGAAGACAACAAAAGCAACAAGAGGGGCTGGGGATTTAGCTCAGCGGCACAGCACCTGCCTGGCAAGCGCAAGGTCGTGAGTTTGATTCCTGGTACCTGAAAAAACAAAACAAAAACAAAACAAAACAAAAGCAACAAGAGCAAGTGGGGCAAAAGGGAGGAGAGAGAGAGCAGCCTCTTTCCCTCCCTTATGCTGTATGCAGCCTCCCTCCCGAGGCTGGGTGTGGCACTCACACCCATCGTTCCAGCATTGGACCATGAATCAACCACAAACCCCAGAAGCCAGCCCCATCACTGCACGAGGCCTTGGGGGGACATCCAGACACAAACCACGACAGAGCTGCTGACCGGAACCTGCTGCTGTGGGTGCTCGTTGAGCTCCTGAGCTGTGGCTGGGGCCAGTGTGGACCGCATGTTTTATTCGGTGCGTTTGCATTCATGCAGACCTTGGGCTCAGCAGCCTCCTGACTCCAGGTAGCCATATGAAGCTCGCAGCGGCTCCTTGAGCTCCTGGCAGAGCCGCCCCCGACAGTGGCTGGCTCCTTGGTGCCATTTGACCATGCCTGGGCATCAGGTTTGGGGCTGTGCCTGCCTCTGCTGGCCCTTCCCAGTGTCTCCCTCTGAGCCCACCGTTCCCTGAAGGCCGAGGAGCATCTGCCCCTCACCAGTACTTCCTGTCTGTCCTCTCCGTGCCCCTCGGGGCTCCTTGGCCGATCCTGGTTGCGCAGGTTTGCTGTGGATGCACCCTGCTCCGGCCTTTCTGCTGGAAGCCCTGGGGTTAGGAACCCAGGCAAAGGCTTCTCTGGTTGCTCTGGGCAGCACGCAGGCCCCGCACGTCGTTGGTGGAGCAGGACACGGACGCCTCCCTGTCAGGCTGGGCTCCAAGTAGCTCAGACCCCAGACCCCAAAGCGCCAAGGAGGTGGGCTCTGCTCTGGGGCCAGGCGGTGTGGGCTCGGCCCTGTTGCTTCCCCTCCCTAGTTGTCAGCTTTCACGAAGGGAAAATGGACAAGATTCTTCTCCTAGGGTTATTTGTTTTTGGTTCGTGGTTGTTTTCCTTCGGCGGTGCTGCGGATTGAACCCAGGCCTTTGTACTGAACTATGCCCCCAGACCATTTCTTATTCTGAGGTAGGGTCTTACTAAATTGCTCAGTCTGGGCTTGCAGTTGCAGTCCTCCTGCCTCAGCTTCCCAGAGTGCTGGGATTACAGCCATGTGCCCCATGCCTGGCTCTCCTAAGGTCATTTGTAAAGGGCAAAGAAACTATTCACTTTTATGGTCCAACTGCTAATCAGGATCCAGCAACAAGCTGGCATTATCCCCTTGCTTCAACAAGCCCTCATTTGTCAGTGTGGGTTCTCGTAAAGTCCCCGCTTCTGTGCTTGGTAAGGTTCTTTCTCCCCCGGCTGCAGCTTGACATCTGTTTGGAAAACCTCTCGCGTCCTTTCATACCAACATTTCGAGATGCCTGCACAGCTCCGGGTGATTTTTCTAGCGCTCGGTGCATCCTAAAGGTAGCAAATTGCACAGGAGGCCGAGTTGACGGACCTCTGCTTTATTTTTAGCGCTCGAAGAATTTTAAAGATGGTTCAATTGATTTTTCTCCCCCTGAACGATTTCTCATGCTGGGAGTGAGCAGCTCAGAAGCCTCGGACTGGGGTGGGTTTGGGATTCTTATTCCTATGTCCCCGAGGCCAGCTGGCTGGAGCGAGGGACCCAGGGAAGCGGGTGGGTAGCCCGAAGGCTCAGGCCACTGTGGTTGTGTTTCTACTGCACATATCTAAAACACCATAAGATCAGTCCCCCCTTTTCTGTCCGGAAGGCAGCTGGGAAGATGGCAGAGCTTTACTTCCCGCCTGGGGGCTGGTTCCTTGGGTAGTCAGCCCTTCCCTGGGGTTGGGGGCTGAGGGCTTCCGCCGCGGCCGCTGTCCTTGGTGCTGACCGCATCGCCAGCCCGTGCAGCACATGGCCACCCCTTACAGCACCTCCTCCCCGCTGTCACCCGCCGGGCACTTCCTGTGTGCCACACAGTGCTCTGTGCAATTGGCAGCGTTAACAGCCCCTTTGACCTAGGAGGAAACTGACCACACCAGGGTGGAGTGATCTGCCACATCACACGGCTGGGGAAAGCCAGGCTGGGACCCTCACTGGGGCTGCCAGGGTGCAGAAGCCACACCCAACTGTCACACAAGCCCACCTGTCCGTCTGCATGGCGACAGCCCCAGCAGCCGCTGTTTGTGGCGCGCTCGCGGGCTCCCTGGCCCGAGCCTGGCTGCACTTGGAATGCAGCGTGTTGTGTTTAATTCTTCAACTCGCAGAGGAGGGCGCTGTTCTCCCCATTTACACAGGTGAGACAGCTCCAGCATCGGACTCCCTCCCAGTTCCCCGCTCCGTCTGTGTCGTAATGTTTCCTGGTGCTCAGTTGGGACCCGAGGAGGCAGGTGCTTTTCACGCGCTGCAGGACAGATGGGAGACTGTCCCGTGTGGCTGAGTGACAGGCTCTGGGGGCTTGCAGCATCTCTAACTCTTCCTCGAGGTGGAGCGGGGTTCCCGTGGCTCTAGGTTGGGGCACGTCCAGTCCTCAGCCTCCTTGGTGTCCAGCAGCATGCTTCCCACAGAGCCCCCGTGTGTGCCGGCCAGAGCCCTGCCTGCTTCCTCCTCCATGACCGGAGCAGCCTTATTTCAGAAAGCCCACCTCCCGCCTTCACTCCTCACCCTGGGCACTTGCTGAGCCTCCCCCATTTTTTATTTTGAGACAGGGTCTCACTAAGTCGCTAAGTTGCCAAGGCTAGACTCAAACTTTCAATCTTCCTGTCTCAGCCTCCCAGAGTGCTGGGTTTACAGGCGTGCACATCCACAACTGGCTAGGACTCCCGCTCTGAGAAACCAGGGCCTGCAGTCAGCACAGACACTCCCGAGCCTTCTAGCGGGTAGTAGCTCTGCAATTCTGCAACCTTCTCAGTTTTGTGGGCTCCCTCACTCCCCAGAGGGAGAGGAAGACTCTGATTTTGATTGATTCCGATTTGGCCAATTTGAATTATTGAACTTCAACTGTTCACTAACCCTCTGCCTTGGGTCCTTTCCTCCGTGCTCACGACGGCCTGCGAGCAGAAGTTATCACCGCATTCCAAAACAGAAAGGCAGGGTGCAGAGAGGCCAAGGCTACGGGGTGGTGTGAACTGGGGTTTTTGCTCTCCGGGTGTTTTGTGGTGACGGCTGGATCTGCCACCCAGAGAGAGTGGGCAGCTTGGGGAGCCCTCTCGGGAGCAGCCCTCTTGAGCCTCCCGAGATGAGGGTTCTGCCCCCGAAGAGGGGCTGCACCATCACAGCCAAGAAGCTGCTCTGAGCAGAGAAAGAAGCGGCTGTTGCACACCAAACTGTCCCCAGCACTAGCGCCGGGACCTCAGGATGGGACTGTCCGGAGGTAGGGCGTAGTTGTTAGGTTGAAGTCGGGCCTCCCCGACTGGGCTGGTGTCCTTAAAGAAGAAAGGGTCCAGGACACATGGACACGGTGAATGTGTGAGCACAGGTTGGCCACTCAAGGACACAGGAGCAGGTGGCCACCTCAGAGCCCAGGGGACAGGATGTAGGAGGGAGAAGCCCCACCGACACTTTGATCTTGAACTCCTGGACTCCTAGCAGTGAGAACTAAGGAGACAGAAGCCTCTGCATCCCGTGTCCCTGCTGTACCCCATGGGGCCTTCCATGGCGTGGCCCTCAGGAGGGCTCCTCCATCCTCCCACCAGCGGCTGCTTGGTTGCCATGGGGACAGCCTCAGAGCAGCTCCCAGGGAGACATCTGGGTGGACCCTGTTTTGCAGGCTTAGATCCATGGAGCCCGAGGCCAGAGCCGCCCCCTCGTGGAGGCATGGCCAGTGCTCAGCCGTGCCTCCCTGAGGGACACAGGCCATCCGGGCCCTGGGGCACAGGGCCGTGGGGAGAGGTGGGGGTAGCTCCAGATGCTCTTGCTGCACAGCTGGAGGAGGAGCGCTAGGGGGACCTCAGGAAGCTGGGTGCCAGCTCTCTGCCACAGTGTCACCCCAGCCAGTTCTGGGCCTTCCTTCCTCCTGGACGGACTGGAGCCTGGCACCTCTTCCTGCCGGGAAGCTTCTGTGCTTGCCCGTGCCCGTGCCCACGCTCTGGCACTGTCATCGAGTCTGGGAGCGCTGTTAGTCACTGTGCCTTCACAGACCGGCTTGCTGTGGTGTCCCCACCAAAGCCATGGGACATGGGTGGCCTTGCCGTGCTGCTTGGGCATTTATGGAGCCCTTCCCATACGGGCCTCTCCCTCGGGGTCTTCGCGGGAACAACCAGGGTTCTTCATTAATGGGCCTGGTGCCATGGAGTGGCAGGGACGCTGGGCAGGTGGGGACACTGGGCTCTGTCTGGTGCAGCTCCTCAGGCCAGGGCCGGGCTCTAGCCAGGCCCCAGGCACAGAGAGACCTTGTCTCTGACGTTTCTGAGCTCTTGGAGCAGCCATGGTGAGGGTGATGCGGGCCAGGCCCAGGAGATCTGGAGGTGCCCTTGGCCGCGGGAGACCAAGGAGCTTCTATAAAAACCTCCACAGCACGAGGACTCTGCAGACGCCGTGGATCACATTTCCTATGTCCTTGGCAGGAAGGGCCTGGGACCTCACCCTTGGGCTGAACACCACGTGCCCTTGTTTCCGAGCTTTGTGGGCTCCCCCAGCACTGGCTCTGCCCTCACGTGGTCACCCTGCTACGGCAGCAGAAACGCCGAACCGACACCCAGGATTTGGAGGCAGGTTTACGTACATGATTGGGATCATTCCCAGAGTATCAGGCCCCGACCCCTGGTGGTCTAGGGCTTACGTGGGATAAGCGAGCAGGAAGCACAGGAGCAGAACGGCTTGTCCGCGGGGATTGGTTTCTACAGTGTGCGGGACAGTGACCCGCTGTGCATCACAGTGACCTGGCGTTTCTAAGAGACAGAAGCAACTGGAACAGGAACTTGGGCAGCTGAGAAGCTGAAGTATCCTGGCTGGGGGGCTAGTTTCTGTTACAGCCTGGCTCCCCACCTTGACTGACGGGCCCGGGGAGCTCCACTCAAGGCTGCCCCCGCTCCGCCATCCTTGTCTCTCCCAGCCCCAGGGCTGCCTCGCTCAGTCCCTGTGTCTCCCCTGGGTGCCTCTTCTCGGGACACACTGAGGGCCGGCCCGGGCAATCCTACCCCAGATCCCAACGTTTATTACGTCTGTGCAGATCCCTTTCCCAAAGGAGGTCACCACCAGTTTCTGGGGATCGGGTGCTGTGCACACATGTTTTGGGGGTCACCCACGGCCCCTGAGCCTGGAGAAGGTAATTCACACTGAGTTGAGGTGTCTGGGACTTAGGGGGGCTTTGCCTGCCCTCCTCCCCTGCTTCCCCCTCATCTTCCTCCCCCTCCTCCTCCTCTCCCCTGTGTGCCGGATCTCTGCAGAGTGCTGCCGTGCCTCACGGTCCTTTCTCGCAGGGAAAGTGACTCGAGCCACCAAAGAGTGACTGAAAGCGACACAGCAGCCTCTTGGGCACAGTTAGATGAGAAAGCCGTCCATGAAAGCCTCCTGGGCGGGCTTCGGGATGAGTTCAATTCCTCTCACCCCCAGGGAAGCTGGTCCCAAGTGACCTTGAGTAGCACAGTGAGAGGTGGGGATTCTGCAGGGGGCCGTGAAGCGGGGTGGAGAGTCCTAAAGAGAGCGGCACCCTGGCCACGCCCTGGCCGTCGTGGCGAAGGCAAACCAAGCTATGCAGGGTGAACTGATGATCCAGGCAGGTCCAGGACCCGGTGACCGGGGGCCCAGCGGGTGCTCGTGGCCTGCAGGATGCTGCGTGTGGCTCTGGGCCCTGGGGACACAGGGACAGGCTGCCCAGTGGTGTCCCAGCCACCTTGGCCACAACCCCATTTGGTGTCACATGGAAGCAGTCTTTGATTAAGAAATGAGACGGGCTCCTGAGGGTGTCCTGCCACCCCGGGCGTCAGTAGGGTCGGGTTTGGGTGACTGTAGCTTGGATGGGTTGGCCACGCGAGTGAGGGCTGCGGCCACGATGGAGCCTGGCTGGCTCTGAAAACTCCCAGCATCCCGTGGGGCAGGAGAGCGCGGCAGCACAGAGGGTGACTTCCTGAGAGGATCGGTGATTCTCAGTTCCCGGCTCCTCACCAGCTTTCAGGCGGGGAGCGGAGCGCAGGCCCGGGGGTCCCGCACGGTGCCTTCCGATTGCACAGCGCACTGCTGCCTGGAATGTTCGCGCTCTGGTGTTCACCGGCGCCCCACAGTGGCGTTCTTACCGCCGTGGAGGGAGGGCAGGGCCGGAGGCGCCCATGGTGAGCTCAGGGACTCAGCTACGACGGAGGTGACGCTCGTGAGCCTTGCGGTGCTGCCACCGTCAGGCCGTGGGCAGAGGGCCTCACGGCAACCCGCGAGATCGAGCACTTCGCCCACTTCACAGATGAGAAACCGGGGCAGGGAGAGCTGGGCCCTCGGGGCACACTCCAGACCTGGGATCCAGTGCAGGAGGGATTGGAGCCGTGGGGGCCCGGAGACTGATGACAGCTGGGGCAGAGCGGGGAGGGGACGGCCCTTGGTCATCGCGTCCCTCACTGGGGAGGGGATGCGGGCGTGGAGGGAGGCAGTGGGCCTGGCCCTGGGGGCAGGGCCTGGCTCTGGGGGCAGGGACTGGCTTGGGCCCCTCTGGCACCCGGGGGTTGTCCAGGGGTGTCCAGGAATGTGAGGCAGCTCGATGACTTTCCCTGGGGCACCACGGGGCGCCCGCCACCACCTTCCTTGACCTCGCCGCCCAGACATCGTGGACATCAAGCCTGCCAACATGGAGGACCTCACGGAGGTGATCACCGCGTCCGAGTTCCACCCCCACCACTGCAACCTCTTCGTCTACAGCAGCAGCAAGGGCTCCCTGCGGCTGTGCGACATGCGGGCGGCCGCCCTGTGTGATAAGCACTCCAAGCGTAAGTGGCCGCCCCGGGGTGGACAGCAGGGGCACGGCGTGGGCTCCCTGATCCCAGCTCTGACTGCTGGGGCCGGGCCTGCCCCTCCAGTCCCTGCCAGCTAGGAGCCGTCTGGCTTCCAGGGCTCCGGAGACTGGGAACCCGAGGGCAGCAAACGGAAGGGCCCCTGACTCCCACACCGCGTCAGGACCGTCCTCTGCCCCGCAGCCCCCAGTCTCCATGCCTGGCAGAGCTGGCCACACTCTCGGGACTTCTTGCTCCAATCCCTGAGCTCCTTGAGGCGGGTGTGTGGCCCCTTGTCCTAGGGGGCACCGTGGGAGTCTTCGGCCAAGGACAGCCCCGCAGTCTACATCTCTGAGCCGTGCCATGCAGTGACAGGGCTGGGCAGGGCCCAGCAGTGAAGGAGGTGACACTGGGTCTTCAGGACCCCTGTGGGTCAGGTCGCAGTGCCCGGTGACCTGGAGGCCAGGTGTTCTCTGAGAAATTCCCAAGACTGGTTCCTGGGTTTGGCGACACCCTGGGGTCCAGGCCCTGCCTGGCAGAGACAGGGCACGCAGGGCGAAGTGTGACATAAGCTCACACGCGTGTGTGTGGGGAGTCGGTCCAATTTTATTACAGCGTTCGACTGTCCTAGCAGGCTGGGCAGCGCACGCTTCCTGGCTCTGGAAGTCAGGACAGTCTCGGCAGAGCTCGTGTGTCAGTCTGTCCACTGTCGTCTTAAGGGAGCGGTTTGTTTTGTTTTTTTAACCAACCAGTTCAGTCTCTTTTTCCCTTTTCCTCTCTGTGGAACTAGGGACGGGACCCAGGGCCTCCACACTGAGCTGCACCACTGTCCCCCTTTGTGAGACAGGGTTTCACCGAGTCACTCCCTCCCCAGGCTGAGCCCAAGCTCTGGCCCTTGTGCGGCAGCCTTCCAGACTGTCGGGGTCAGAGGCGTGCACCACCGCAGCCAGCTTCAGTGTCCTTTTTCACTTGTGTTTTGTGCATTTTTCTTTCAGCGTTAACTCTGCATTTTAAAGTTTTCTGGAATTTTTTTTTTGGTTCTCAAGCTCAATGTCTTGCACAGAAAGTCAGTACCCCAACCTCTAGATTGAACCCAGAGCCGCACACACGAGAGACAAACACTGTATCTACCCCAGCCCGGAGTCTTTGTTTAAACGCCGGTAGAATGATCCTTGACCAGTCTTCGCTGCTCTCCCGGCCTGTTTGCCTTGTCCTGTTTAATTTGCCGTAAAGCAGCGGTGAGTGGCTGAAATCTGTGTCCCCGCTGTCCGCGTCCGGCCGTCCTGAGCGGCTCAGCGAGCCGCCCCTTCCCACTTAGCAGGTGGCCGGAACAAATAGCTGTGACTGCACCTGGGTGTTGCTGCAGATCTGGAGATTAGGGCGGGTCTTTGCCTCCCACTGGGTCGGTTGATTTCTTGGCGCTGAAAGCTCAGGGGTGTTGGGGGCGACAGTCCATAAGTGACGCTCAAAGGTCAGACGCCACTGGATGGATGAGGAAACCGAGGTCCAAGGGGCACAGTCGCTCCCTGGTCCTGCCCACCTCGGGGCCGTGCCGGGGGCACGTAGGCCATCCCGTCCCCTGTCCCTGGCTTCCGTCTCCTCTGAAGCCCTGGAAACCTGGGTCTTTTGTCTGCTAGGCATTGTGACAGGGTAGCCATGGAAACCAGCGGTGAGCCTCCAGAATAGGCTGTGATTTCTGCCGTTGACAGCACGCAGAGTGGAGGGGAAGGCTGAGCTCAGGGCAGAGGTTTCTTAAGCCTGGTGCGAAGACAGTCAAGCTCTTTGTGGGACGCAGGTGGATCTGCGCCCTAGTGGAGGCCGGAGGCCCAAGGCCAAGGCTGTGTGGCAGGCTGGTCTCTCTCCGAGGCTGCTCAGAGAGACGTGTCCTTGCCATTTCTGGCCTCTAGAGGCCGCTGTGTCCCTTGGGGCGGCGGGGCTTCTTCCTTGCCCACTCCTGTGTTGACCTTGGCCTCCTTGGGTCACCACGACCCTGTGTTGAGCCTCAGGACAACCCCCAACTGCCAGGTCCTTAGCCCTGCCACACACCTGCAGGGTCCTTCACCCACGGCACAGGTTCCAGGAAGGAGGCTGTAGACATCTTTAGGGGCCGTCACAATCTACGCCCTTCATACACAGAGAAGTTAAGACGTTTGCTCAAGGTCACACAGCTAGGCAGTGCCAAGTTACCCTCAGAGAGTCTCCTGCCATCAGTTGGAGTCTTTCTCTTGAAATCTTGAGTTGTGGGTAGGCTAGGCCCCCTTAAAAGGGCCATGTGGGGTGGACGCCTAGCGGGTCTGCAGCAGGAAGGCAGCCTCAGCCTGGACCCCAAAGGTACAGGGCGCAGAGCCAGGGCATAGCTCCGCAGAAGTGCAAAGGCCCTGCGGCCAGGTCTCAAGGCCCACAGAGCAGGAGTGAAGCAGGGGAGAGGGGCAGGTGAGGTCAAAGGGGGCCACGGCAGGAGCTTTGATCTGTACCGGAAGCTGCAAGGCCACGGGGGCCTCTGGCTGGCAGGGCCCACAAAATGAGAAGGAAAATGTCAGGGAGAGGAAAGGAGAAAACGAAGTTGGAAAAACGTAACTCACATTAGCAGGCCCACTCTGCGCAGGGCTCTGGGCTCCAGCTCTGCAGTCCTAGCATTCTCTCAGGCTCAGAGAAGCCAGGGCCTCACCTGGAGTCACACAGCAGTGTGGTTGGGACACAAGGTTCACCACTGCCAGCAGTCTCCCCTCAGATGTGTGCATGTCCGGGGCCCTGAAGGAGGGGGTGCACTGGGGGTGGCAGGTGGCTTGGGACCCATTTAGGAAAGGCATGTGTCAATCACATGTAGGAGCTTGAACCTCAAGCCTGGGGCACTGGGGAGCCATAGAGGTGTTAGGCAAGAGGAGGACGCCCGCTGTCAGAGTTGTGGGAGGCTGGGGGCAGGGACTGACAGGGAACAGATTCAGCTCTCTTCTGAAGAAATTGTATCAGTAATTTCTTTTTTTTCTCAAAAATTTCATAGATCTGCTTAAAAAGCAAAGTAAGAATTTTTAGAGATAATTTTTGCAGGATGGTTAATATCTTTCCCACTTATCCTCTGCACCTCTGGTCCTTTTGTCTTTAAAAGACTGTCAGAAATCCTGGCCCCGTGCCTCATGTCTGTTATCCCAGCACTCTGGGAGGCTGAAGCAGGAGGGTTGCAAATTTGAGTTCGGCCTGGATAACCTAGTGAGATTCTTACCTCAAAATAATCAAAGTAAACAAAAAGGGCTGGAGGTGTAGCTCAGTGCAAAGGCCTGGTTTCAAGCTCTGGTACCACAGCCACATAAAAAAAAAGGAAGGGAAGGAGGAAAGATCGATCAGGAATGCCCAAGTACAGCGGGACTGGGTGAGACCCAGCTGGCCACCGTGCTGTTTTTGGCAGCAGGTGGAGGTCTTGCAGACTTTGGCCTCTGCGTCTCGCCCTCCAGGCTGGCGGGAGACTCTCCAGTCACCCCCACCCTGAGAACAGAGTTCCCCTCTGCCGCGGGACCCCTTCCTAGCCTCGCCCCGCAAGGCATGCTGGGACTTGGGCCAGCCCTGAAGTCTTAGGGAAGTTGGGCCAGAGGACCTGAGCCACCCCCAAGGTGGGCACGGCTTGGTCCAGCTTGGAGTGCTAGCCCCAGTGGCAGAGATGCCAGCCGGGCCTGTTCAGGGTATTGGGGCAGGGCTGGGGCACTGGTCCCCGTGAGCCGCTGGGCCTCTTCCCCTCTGCCCAGCAGCCCGGGGTCCCACTCCTCTCGAACGAGAGCCCCGTGCTCTGTTCCCCAAGGCAGTGCTGAGCCTCCCCACCCGCAGCAGGGAGTCACGCGGAGACACACCGCGGACATTTCACACCGCGGGTGTCCGGGTAGCGGAGCCTGCAGGCGTTCTGGGTGCTCAGCGTGGCCCCTGGGCGGCCTTGCTGCCCCGTCCATGCCCTGGCCGTGCTTCCAGCTCCCTGTGGCTGCCCGTGGCCTGGCGTCCTTGCCTGGCTCTCAGCCCTCCGTGCCCTGCCTCGCTGGGCTCAGCCGGGACACTGGAGCCCAGCGAGGACGTCGGGCAGGGAGGGTGGCAGAGGCCTCCAGGGGATGCAGGGGCCTTTGCCAGCCCGGGAAGCAGCTTCCCTCCCTCCCGCCTTGCTGGGCTGAGGTGAGGAGGAGTCCACGCTGCGGCCGGGCCTCGGGTGCCAGAAGCCCCTTCCCGCGTGGGAAGGAGACTCCATCTCCACCCACCGCACCCATCCTTGGCCCCCAGACCTCAGCAGCTCACACCTGCCCAGGCCCCCACATCCCTCCTCCCCACCTACTCCTCTGTCTGTCTGCACCACCCTCAGTCCAGCCAGCCTCGGGGCCTTTGCAAAACGAGCTGCTGCTGCTGCCTGGAGCGCTCCTTGCCCAGGGGTCACTGCCTGCGCGTGGGAGCCAGGGCGCTGCCTGGGGACAGGGAGGGAGGGGAGCTGGCAGAGAACTGCATGTCTGCAAAAGGCCAAGGCAGGGACAGTGTGGACCTTGCACTGGAAGGGAATGAAGGGGCCTCCAGATGGCAGGCTCAGGGTGGGACCTCAGGACCAGGAGGGGCTGCCACGCAGTCGGTTTCCATAGGGACAGCAGGAAGGGTTGTCATTTGTTTCAGTCCTGGTCCCTTCTGTGGTGTTAGTGCCTGGCCCTGCAGGGTCCTGGGCCCCACCTGCTCCAGCCCAGGGCGGCTGTAGGATTCGATTGTCCAGGGGCTCTGGGAGAAGTGACACCACGGCTTGGGCGGGCCTCGGCCAGTAGGGGGCAGCAGAGAGCAGCACCGTGCGTGTAGCTCTGGGTTCAGGGCACCGCGTTCATGTAGACCGGAGGCCTAGGCATGGTTTGTAGTTTCCTTGGCTATAAAATGGGAGTAATAAGGATATCAGCGGACATTTTTTATTGGGGATTGGATGAGCTAACACAACAGATAATCAAGATATATGGAGTGTGTTTAAATAAAAAAATTATTACAGTGAGAGATACACGGCCACAAATCCCCCCAAAGTACTCCCTTGCTTCCAACCCACTGGTTCTCGCCGCTTGCTGAGGCGTTCCTGGAGTCCTCCTCCCTCCGCGTCTTCCTGAAGTGTGATGAAAAATACAGTGACTGGGCCAGGGACGTAGCGGGGCGGCACAGCCCCTGCCTGGCAAGCTCGAGGTCCTGAGTTTGATTCCAGGTGCCCCCCACCCCAGAGACAGTGACTGCTGCCGCCGAGCGCCATCCGGTGGGAAGGCAGCTCGTAAGACCACAACACCATGTCCTCATCCACTGGTCCCCAGATCCGGCACCGTACGGCCTCCGGCTTCTCCCCAAGTCAAAATGACCTGAAAGGGAAACATTTTGCGTCAATTCAGGGCATCGAGGCAGCTGGACTGCAGAACTAGAGACACTTACGAAAGAGGACTCCAGAGCTGCTGCAGAAAGTGGCAAGAATGACGGGATGTGTGTTTGAAGCAAGGGGGAGGATTCTGAGGAGGATTCGTGACAATATATTTCACTGTAATACATTCTTAAACTTTTAAAAATATTTACTGTATTTCTCAATCACACTGTACACACAGAAAGAGCTCGGCAGAGAATCTGCCTCAGAAGAAACACTCCATGGACGCTGGCTCTGCTGCTTCCTGCGCTGGCCCCTCCTCCTGGACAGGGCCAGTGTGGGCCTGTGCCTGAAAAGTGTTCTGTAGGTTTGATGAATGAATGAGTGAATGTACAAATGACAGCTGAACCCAGGGTGCCCACAGCCGCCTGGCCTGGCCTGGGAAAGGGCGTCCTGGGGACCAGGTTGCCTCTTTGTGTCCGCAGTCTTTGAGGAGCCCGAGGACCCCAGCAGCCGATCCTTCTTCTCCGAGATCATCTCCTCGGTGTCGGATGTGAAGTTCAGCCACAGCGGCCGCTACATGCTTACGCGGGACTACCTCACGGTCAAGGTCTGGGACCTGAACATGGAGGCGAGGCCCATAGAGACCTACCAGGTGGGCCAGGCCCCTGCACTGCGCTGAGAACCCATGAGGGACTCTGCCCTGCCTCCCGGAGAGCCCGATCTCAGGAAGTGGGGACGATGGGGCAGGAATTCGGGGGTGCTGGTGCCTGGGGTTGCACATTGAGTGGTCTAAGCCCAGCCGTCCTCAGGGAACACCTGTCAACAGCAGCAGCAGAGGTGACCCAGGTGCACCCATGTCTCCAGGTCCCCGGCACAGGTCCTTCCCCAGTACACGGGGCCAGCCTGGGCATGTAGAAAGCATTATGCATTATTCTACTGTGGTCCTCTCAGACAGGCTGGGGTAGAAAACGAAGCTCACGTGCTGTTCACACAGCTCTCGGAGGGGGGCGGTGCTCACCTATAATCCCAGCACTCTGGGAGGCCAAGGTGGGAGGGTCATAAGTTCAAACCCAGCCTGCACAATTAGCAGCTTAGCAAGACACCATCTCGGTCTTCAAAAGTGCTGGGGAAGGGAGGTGTCTCACAGCTGGCAGCAGCCTATTCTGAGCGGACTCAGTCCTTGGCTTGCTGCTGAGGCCCAGGCAGGGCCGTGTCCTGGGGGCAGAGGGGCCCCCCATAGGGGCACAGGGGGTGCAGAACCTGTGGAGGGACTCAGGCTCATGGGGATCCCACGAAGCAGGAGGATTAGGCTGTGGGTGGGGCGAAGCCTCACGCTGGGCGCCTGGCTTCTGCCCTGCCAGCGTATTAGTTCCAAAGCAGTGAGGACAGTCACGTGGCCGCAACCCTGCAACCTGCGGTTTGGGGTGACTCGGTGACCGCTAGAAACCGCCTTGTGCAGTATTGTGTTTGCCGGCTTGGGGGCTTCACAAATAAGGGCTACTTTTCTCCCGTCACGGGCGGGCTGGGGGTGACAGGCCAGGAACAGTGACTGGTCCCGAGACCACGGCATGGCCCCAGCCACTGGCCCTGGGAGGCAGCCCGAGGTAGTGTGGGCCGTGGGTTCCACCGTCCGTGTGGAAGGTGCCCGAGGCTCACCGCGCCCGCCCCCCGCAGGTGCACGATTACCTGCGCAGCAAGCTCTGCTCCCTCTATGAGAACGACTGCATCTTTGACAAGTTTGAGTGCGCCTGGAACGGCAGCGACAGGTGAGCCCCTCCGCCCGCCCGCTGCCCAGTCTGGGCTCCCGGCCCCGTCACACGTGGGGACTCCTGGTGCTAGTTCCAGGGGCCGGAAATGCACCTTTCCTCGCTGTCTTTACCTGATCCTAACAGCCACTCGGAGCGCCTGTCCTGGGGCAGTCAGGAATGTATATAGATAGGTAGCCCAGGTCCCCAGCCAAGTGTCCCTGTTCCCCGAGTCCTCAGGGGTGAAGGCTGCACCCCAGCAGTTCACACCTGCCCCGTCCCTGGTCCACACCACGTGACGAGGCAGCCTCATCACCCACCTCCCTCCTGCTGTCACTGTTCGGGCCGTGGCTTGGCGGCAGGCTGTGCGGTCCCTCCGGGGCTCAGGGGCATCGCAGCAGGGGCACCTGCCCTGGCCGCCGGATCCACGCGTCCATCTTCCCCTGCCAGCCTCGCTCCTGAGAGCCGGGCCCGATGTGAGCTCCGCGGGGACACAGCCCGGGCTGGCTGTGGACGGGGACAGCTCCTCGCAGGGCCCTCTCCTCCCTGTCCCAGGGCCCAGGGCTGCTTCCTCTGACCCCAGGGCAGGAAACTCCTCCTCGGGCCACACGCTCTTCCATGGCGTGGAGCTTCCGCTCAGGCTGCAGGGCTCGGACTTGGCGGTCACAGCCGCTTCCCGTTTTGCAGAGCCCGGAGCGGGTCTCACAGTGACAGGGAAAGCAGGGATAAAACCCACGCCGGCCAGCAGGTCACAAAACCACCGGGGTCCCGCGGGTGCGCGGTGCGGCTGTGGGCGCAGAGGTGCCGCGTGCTGTGACCTCTGTGGCTTTGGGTCTGGGCTTCGACGTGGGGAAGGTGGGCAGGGCCCGGGCCCGGAGGGGTCTGCGGGCAGAGCGCGCCTCACTCAGACGAGCCACCGTGGTGGCCACAGCGATCTTCCGAAGGACACTTGGAGCTCAGGACGGAGCCCCAGCCTGAGCCCGAGGGCTCCCTGCCACTCTGACCTGCCCACACCCGGCCCCGGGGCCCCTCGGAGTCTCTCAAGCTGGTGCCCTGCGTGTTTGGGGCCCACTGTGAACGCCAGGAGATGGTCGTGGGTCCTGTGAGAAGCACAGGGCGGGGCTTGCCGCTGTGAAGAGACCTCCACGCCAGCCATTGTTTTGAGGAGCAGGGCCCCGCAGTTCCCTTGTGTTACCACCAGAGGGCGCCTGTGCCCAGGCCATGCGCGCCCAGTGCCTGAGAGCGCCCCCGAGTCCGCCTGCCTGCGGCGCGCTCTAGGGAAACCCGGCCAGACCTGTCGCACCATCGGGGTCACAGGTCGCCGCTGGCAGTGGATGCCGGCAGGCCTACACTCCTGGTCACCTGTCCCAGCATCCTGCCCTCCTCCAGGCCCAGCTCCTGTGTCCCTCCTCTGTGGTCAGCTCCATGTGGGAGGAAGGGACCTGGGCCCATCTGGTGGCTCTGAGAAGCCCTGCAGGGCTCCCTGGGGCTGGCCGGCTTTGGGACCGTCTCCTTGCCCCGGACCTGCCCCTGTCTGTCCTTCCCTGCTCCCCTTTCACACTGCCTCACCCCCTCCTCCGCAGTTTGCTGGATGACACCCCCAAAGAGTCCCCTGCCTGATAGCCTCCGCCCCAACGGCACCTGCAGGGGCTCTGTGAATCCTCATGGAAGGATCTGATTGGCTTTTTTGGGTCATGGGCTCACTTTGAAGCCAATCAGCATGGACATGAGTATGATGGGGGTGGGGAGAGCACTGTAATTGACAGTCCACAGGGCTGGGCCAGGAGGCCTCCCCCCGGGGAGCTGGCCCCTGCCAACGGGCCCTCGGCACTCCTGTGCCCCACGGGGATGACTTACTGTCATCAGGACGCGAGGCTACAGGCAAGCACTGAGGCCCAGGATCCAGGGACTTCCCGGAGGCCGTGGCAGAGGTAGGGTGGGGCCGCAGCGTCTCCCCAGGCAGGCTGCTACCCCGCTGCCCACCGGCCACCGAGGGTGGGCCCAGGCGCAGAAATCCCGGCAAGCCCTGTTCCCACACCGTGCTGGGGGACGCGAGGCCGCCGGAGCCCTTCCCTGCGCTGTCCTCCGTCCCAGGTCCAGCCACTCTGCACAGGGATACTCTTCCTGTCACCAGACGGAAGTGCCTGGTTTGGAGGAGGGAGCTGGGAGTGGGCCGGGCACACTGTCAGGGTCTGTGAGGACTGGACCCCACGGCCATGAGTGTTTTCCCTTTTGCACAACTGCTGTGGGACCTGGAGGCCCGGGGCCCTCAGAGCCCTGCCCCGGCCGGCTGTGGCGTTTACACCGCTTAGTCTGCGGCGCTGTTTCATGTGTGTGTGTCGGGGCGGGGCGGGGTGGGGCGTCCAGGGCCAATTCCTGCACTAAAGGGAGATGAGGGAGGGTAGCGTGTCTGTGTTTGGGGCACAGCCTTCAAGGGGTCTTAGCTCACGGCCCCAGGCCGAGTGGCGGTGGCAGCCGTGACCCGGGCGCCCCTCTCTCCTCTCTCCCCTTGCCCCCACACTGATGCCTGTCCCTCTCCCACCAGCGTCATCATGACCGGGGCTTACAACAACTTCTTCCGCATGTTCGACCGCAACAGCAAGCGGGACGTGACCCTGGAGGCCTCTCGGGAGAGCAGCAAACCCAGGGCCGTGCTCAAGCCGCGGCGCGTGTGCATGGGCGGCAAGCGGCGGCGCGATGACATCAGCGTGGACAGCTTGGACTTCACCAAGAAGATCTTGCACACGGCCTGGCACCCGGCCGAGAACATCATTGCCATCGCCGCCACCAACAACCTCTACATCTTCCAGGACAAGGTCAACTCCGACATGCACTAGGGCCCCGGCAGCCAGACCTCAGCCGATCGTGCCCAGTGCGACCTGCATAGCCACAGCGTGGGAGGTGGTTGTTGTGGGGACGCAGGTCCCGCTCTACCAGCTTCAACTCGCCTTGGACAGCTGCGATCCCTTTAAAAAGGGAAGAAAGGTCCGCAGGCGCAGGTCATCGCGGTGATTCCCGTCTTCACAGTTCAGGGTTTTCATTCACGCCGCTCCCCGGCTCGAGCTGCGGTCCTTCCCACACTATTAGTTTTCCACCCGGCCGGTCCTTCCAGGGGAAGCCGGAGCTGGTCCTGAAGGAGGCTCCAGGACAGAGACTGAGGCTTGCAAGGGCCAGCTGGGGGCTTGGACTAAGAGGGCAGATTGCCCGGCCTCGGGCTGGTCCCGCCTTGGCCTTCTGGGTGGGGAGTTGGCACTGAGAATCTGAAGATGTCCCACACCAGGGCAGGTCCCCGAGAGCAAGGGCAGGGCCCTCTGCGCGTGCCTGGCCCCTTGCTCATTGTCCCCCTTGCTGAGCCGCTGTGGCACGCTGGGCAGGGTGCTCAGCCCGCAGGTGCACGGATCGGAGTTCTGCAGTCTGGTCCATGGTAGCTTCGCTGTCCTCCGCCCCCTGGGACGCTGGCTCCTGCCTGTGACTGTCACATGGGTGTCTGTTCTTTTCCCCCTAAATACCAGCTGTCCCTGGGTGCAGGCCCTGCACTGGGGATGGGATAGAAGTTGAAGAATTATTGTCCCCTTCATACGTGAGAGGAAACCGAGGCTCTGGGTGGAGATGCTGCTGCCCGAGGCAGGTGTGGGGACGGTCAGGATCGGGGTGCCATCCCGCTCTGCGCAGGCGCCAGTGGCTCACATTGACCTAGGGCTGAAGGGCGGCATCTCTTCATGACAAGGGACGACACTGGGAAGATGGAGGAGCTGCCCGTGTCTGGTGGCGTCAGGATGCCCCTCTCCAGCGCTGTCACCCCAGGCGGGCACCTGCAGCTCCTTTCCAGCCGTGCTGGACCGCCTCCAAGAGGAAATGCATGTTGTGACCGTTTTAGGATGCTTCCTTCCAGGACCACACGCTCACCTGGGGGACCCTCCCCGCACTCCGACGCTGAGGGCCACAGGGAATGCCGTCTCCACAGTGAATCCTGCCGCTGGACCCGCCCCGTGTCCCCTGGCCTGTGGGATGGCGGCGGAAGCAGGACGCTTGGGCCTGGGCTCTGAGAGCAGAGTGCAGGCCAGGCCCGGCAGGCCAAGTCTCTGTCTTCATTTTGTACCCCATGGACCATCACCCAGGAAACGGCCCGCCTGAGGTGTCCTCGGTGGGCTCCCGGGGACTTGTGTGTGTGTAAAAGCACAAAACGCATGTGCACTCACTCCTGGCCATATTATATTTACACACAAATGGATCCATTGAGTTTTTCTTTTTAATCAACGTGAATGAAGAATGTCTTTATAATAGCACTGTAAAATCCAGGCGGCCTGGACAGTATTATATGTACATATCTACCTTAATTAAATTTAACAATCACAAGATCGGGTGACTGTATTCCCCCTTGTAAAGACGCTTGAGGATGTGGAAAATTGTACAGAAATCCCGCTGAAGCCAAAATCCAGCTCTGAGGGCCTGAGGCACTTGCTGGGGTCTTGGGTACCAGCCGTCTCCCTTCGTGATGCCGACGTGGAGAGGAAACTTGGGACTGGAGGTGCAAGTTCCATAGAATCATAGGTTTAACATTCACCATCTTCAAAGTGCGGATCCTACAGTCTTCAAAAGGGGTCTTAACACGGTTCCTACTTCCTGACTCTGTTTTAAACTTTGGGTACCAAACCAAAAAGGGGGTGGGGAGCAAACGAAAGCTGGGGACAGATCTCAGAAGAAGAGTGTGTCTTTGGCTCCCTGGAAGATATCCGGGTCCAGCGCAGGCCGTGAATAGTGAATTCTGGGGTGAGGAAAAGATGTTCGTGGGGAGGGGCGAAACTAGGAATGTGGGGGACCCTTCGGCAGCCATAGGTTCGTATCCTTCCCTGCTTCCTCCTCTGGTCTTCTTGGGGCGTCCGCATTGCTGTGGGGTTTTAGTTCTTCCCCTTGGGCTGTTCTCCGAGGAAGGAGCCCTGGGCGGGAAGGGAAGGGTTTGGATTCTGTAACTCCTAGGTGCATTCTTTTTTCTTGGGTGTCTCACGGATTATCCAACTGTTGAATAAAATTATAAATATGTTAATACCAGCTTTTTCCAATAAAATAACAAATGTTACATCTAACCTGAGCCCCGGAATGCTCTTTCAGGAGGCCAGGGAGGCCGAGCTTGTCTTCGGGATGCAGGGTAGGGCCTGGGTCACAGGCTGAGTGGGCTCTGCATGTGTGTGTGTGTGTGTGTGTGTGTGTGTGTTTCTGGTTCCCATGCGGATTGCTGCCTCCTGGCCTCAGGGTCCTGGGGACCCCGCCCACTTGGAGAAAAGCCAGGGCACGGGGCTGGTGCAGGAAGCGAGGAAGTCCACCCTCAGCTGCGTGGCCTGCTGACGAGAGGAAGGGCTGTGCACCCTGGGTCCTGTGCCCCCAGCCGGGCCTCACCCCTCCAGTCCGAGGCATCTACACTCAGGTCCACTCCTCCGTCCCCGACACAGTCCCAGGACGGCTGGAGGGAGAAGGTGCTTCCTGGTTCTGTGACCTCTGGCACCCAGCTAACCTCTGACCTGCACATGCAGACAGTGCGAGACTCCTCGGTGCCTCCTGGTGACTAACGTGACCGGTTCTCCCGCACTGGGCGGAGCACGACAGATGCGCCGAAGGTGTTGTCTTGTTGAGGTGGCACCAGATCCTCTGTGGGGAAGCAGGCAGTGCTGCTGTGACCCCCCACTGTGTCGTTGGAGAGACTGAGGCTAAGAGAGGGGAAGTAATTTAACTTAGGCCTAACTTCAAGGGACTAGGAGGTGGTGGCGTCAGGCTTCGAACCCCAGTGCCCACGATGGTAGGGGCTCGGGACTGCGGCAGATGGTGTGGCCTCAGCCCCCAAACTCCAGCTCCAGCCATGCCCACGGGCTCTGGGGTTGTGCAGCCATGCTTAGGTGGGGACTGGACCTCGGGATGGGAGATTGCCCTGGATCATGCGCCCAGGCCCCCTCTGACCTCATGAGTCCCACATCCCTGCCTGTGCGTGGAGGGAGATGTCGCAACAGACAGAGGACCAGACGTGTGGCGTGTGGCCCGTCACAGCCAGAGCTGACTCTGAAGACTGGGGGCCTCCGGGAGCTGGACAAGGCCAGGAAACAGATTCTCGCAAGAGCCCTGGGAAGCCTGGCCCTGCCACCCCTGACCTTGGCCCACGGAGACCGGTGTCATCCTCTGACCATGGAGCTGGATGATAGTAAAGGTGTGTTTTTTCAAGCTACCAAGTTTGCAGTCCTTTGTCACAGCAGCCCTGGGGACCAACATCCCTAGGCATGTTCATCCTGATCCCACAGCCACCCCTGTAGGGGAGAGTTCCTGCCCTCGCAGACGAGGGCGCTCAGAGTGGCCCAAGTACTTGCCCCGAGTCCCACAGCACACAAGCTTGTGTGGCAGGGAAGGCGGGGTTTGCGTCCCTGGTGACGACTGGGTTTCCTTAGGGTGGCAAGGATGGGACCCTACTAGGGAGCTCCTGGCGGTGGGGCTGCAGGAGGCAGGGGAGCAGGCACAGGAGTGGCGGGTTCCTGGACGGCCAGGGGCTTGGGACCCATGCTGTGCCGAACCTGTGTGCCGGCTGTGGACAGGCCAGGGAGGGTGCCTGAGGCTGCAGGGAGCAGTGTGCAGGCCTGGACTCCCCTCTGCCGGCGCTGACAGATGGTCCCCCTGGGTTCTCTAGAGGAACAGAGACAACAGGGGAAAAAAACCCACATATACATATATATATATATATATATATATATATATACACATATGTATGATATAGATAGATGTGGGTTTTTTGTTTGTTTTGTTTTCCAGTACCAGGAATCGAACTCACGACCTCGCACTTGCCAGGCAGGCGCTGTGCCGCTGAGCTAAAACCCCAGCCCCTATAAATATATATGTGTGTGTATATATCTATCTATATAAATTATATACATGATCGGCTCCCAGGATGAGAGGCAGAGAGGCCATGGTGGCCGTCCCTATGCTGGAGGACGGAGGAGCCCCTCAACCCGAGAGGCTGAACCCGCAGGAAAGAGTGCTGGAGGAGGCCAGGCCAGCCCGAGGCCGCAGGCTGCAAGCTCCCTGGGAGCCGCTGGTGTGAGTCTGCCTTGCAAGGCTGGAGAAGCTGGAGTCTGGGCCCACAGGCCGCAAAAGACACCCGGGCTCCAGCAGAGTGGAGCTCTTCAAAGGCAGGCCGCCTTCCTCCTTCTTCCTTTTCATTCCACCTGCAAGCCCATTGGATGGAGCCAACCACATCAGGGCGGGCCTTCCCCCTCCATTTGCTGGCCCACATGCCAATCATCTCTGCAACCACCCACAGACGCACCCAGAAGTGTACTTTACTAACCTAGGCCTCTCTTAACCCAGCAAATTGACATCGTGATTAACCGTCACAGCCTGGGAAACATAATTGGGGCCACAAGCTCGGGGGCCTCCAGCACACGGGTGGCCTTGGGTAACCTGCTTTCCGGCCTGTCCCTGCACAGCATGTCATCGTTGGTATGAACAGGGACACCTCTGAGCCGTGCGCAGGACTCAGAGCTCCGCATGTGTGGCTCATTCGCCCCATGGTCACCCAGACACGGGGTGCTCTAGTTCTCCCCGTCTCACACACCGGAGGGTGACGCATCCAGAAGCCAAGGTCGCAGTTACCAAACTGTCCCAGACTCCCTGGCCCCCTGGTGCTGGGTCCCTGCAGGTACTGTGCTTCTGAGGGACACTGCTGGCCGCCCTCCAGCTTCTCCTCCTCCTACACCTGCCCGCACCCTTTGCCCCCCAGACACCTTGGAGGAGGCTCGAGACCAATGGTGGAGTCCGTGCCTTTTCTGGGCAAGGCCCTCGATCCCATCCCAGCACCACACAAAAAAATACAGCATCTATCTACGTTCAGTTTCTGTGGGTCAGGGTCCAGGGGTGGATGAGCTGGGTCCTGGCGCAGGCTCTCCTGAGTCTGTGGTCAATCTTTGCCTGTGGCCACTGCCTCTGGGTGGAGCTGTCCCCGAGGTTACTTGAGGCTGTGGTTGAGGCCTCAGCTCTTCCCCACCCGGGCTTCTGCCCAGGGCTGCTTGTGACACAACCAATTCTCCCAGACAGAGAAGCCACACTGACGCACTGATTCTTACAAACGGACCTCAGCAGCGACGTCCCATCCCCGCTGCTGTTCCCTCCCCTCTGCCCTACACCGGCACCCTGGCGAGCTGCGGGGAGGAGGTGCAGGGCGGTGCGGGACCTTTGGGTCTCAGGCGGGTCCCTGTACTCTGGGTGGCCCAGGCTCCCTGTGTGTGAAGCGGGAACAACAGTCTTCACCTTAGGAGCTGTGTGAGCGTGAAGTGAGATGACCGCCACAAAACTGTGATGACCGCCACCCTCACACGCTCTCGGGCAGGCCTGATTCCTGGGGCTCACCCACCTCCTGCAGAGGGGCTGGGGGCCGCCAACACCTCCCTGCTGCCTCGCTCAGGCAGGGCTCCTGGGGGATAAGTCAGAGCCAGTGAGTTTGGTGAACTGATTTTTCACTTTTAGAAAGGAAGTTACAATGTGTGCCCCCACCTCCCACCCCACTTTTCAAAGTTATGCTTTGAAGTTACATCCCCGTGAGCAGCTGAGGAAGGCTCACAGCCCCGGAGGGAGGCTCCTAGCAACCGAGGAGCTTTTAGAGCCCGAAATAATTGCTCTTGTAGGGAGTGAGTCCTTTCAGACGCTGAGGTCCTTTTAAAAAAAAAAAACAAAACAAAGCCCCGTTGTCTTCCCCGGGATGCTGTTAGAAGGAGGTAGAGCCCACGCAGTCAAATGACACCGGAGAGCGGCTGCGAGTCTGCAGAAGGCGGCAGCAGCAGGAGGAAAAGAGTAAAAACTGTACATGGCGAGGGTGTTGTTCAATCTCTGCCCCGCAAACCTCCAAACATGCGAGTGGATGTGACTGTCTGGAGGAGTAGATTACGCGTACATTTGCGAAGGCGCTGACAGGTGCAATCTGTCCATTAAGCGCCAGCTCCCCGCAGGTCGGCGTTTACCTTTGCGCAGCTGCCTGTCATCTATTCCCCCACTGAATGCAAGTTTCCTGAGCTCCTGCCACGTCCACACCGTGGAACTCCGAGCCCTGGATTCTGATCCCAGCCTGATGCCGGTCGTGGGGCCTGGAGATGGTACCCTGACCTTGCCGGCCGCAGTGTTCTCATCCGCGAGGGACGTGCAGAACAACCGGCCCCCGTGTGGTGACCACCTTTCCTCTGACTGTGACTGGCCCTTTAGGGAAGTCCTGCCAAACCCTGCAGCTGGGTCCTGGCCACCCTAGGACGGTCTGTGCCCATGCTGGGACTCGGAGGCCTCACCAAGGAGGACGCCGGGGCAGCCTGGGGGTTTGGGGGGACCCGGAGGAGAGGGGTGAGGGAGCCTGCAGCCAGCGAGCACCAGCCAAGGGTGGCCTGAGGGGTCTGAGCCATCTCAGAATCCCGGCCAGGTCCTGGCTAAGCCTGGGTCCTCAGCCAGCAGGCCGGAGAACGACGGCTGGTCCCGCTCGTGCCTTCGGCTGCCTTCTGCAGGCCAGCAGGCTCTGAGCTGGTGAGGGAGAGTCCCTCGGCCCGGGGAGGAACACGGTCAGAGGCGCGACACTGCTGCTAGAGCCCCCAAATAATTCCGTCTCCGACAGGAGAGTCTGAGCTGGTGTTCCTCCTCCTTGAGGTTTGTCATTGTCCTGACAGTCAGTCCCACTGTCAGGAGAGAACAAGGTTAGGAGATGCCTGGGTTCTTTATGTTCTTTACAGGTATGAGTTTTTTTATTTTTTATTTTTTGGTACCAGGAATTGAACTCAGAACCTTGTCCTTGCCAGGCATGCGCTGTGCCTCTGAGCTATATCCCCGGCCCAGGTATGTGTTAGTCATTGTTCCACTGATGGGACAAAATTAGAGGTGTGATCAAAACATACGGTGAGCATTTCCATTTTTAAACGTGTGATAGTGGCACATTGCCGTGAACCCCCCCAGAATCCTCCCCCTGTCTTTGAACACACGTACCCCGTCATTCTTGCACTTTCTGAAGCAGTTCTGGAGTCTCTTTCCTGAGTGTCTTTACTAGGTGTGTTCAAACATTTGGTAAACACTCCTGCTGCAT